AAACATAAAGGTTCGAAAGATCTTAAATGTGCTAGTTGTGATTATGGAACAGATAATAAACAATTCTTCAAACAACATTGTCTAAAACATCAAGTTTCTAAGGATTTTAAACTCGATTTTAAATGTGCTACTTGTAATTTTAAGACACAATGTAAAACCTATTTGAAACGTCATCTTTTAAAACATACGGTTTCTAAGGACTTTAAATGTGATGAATGTGATTATGGGACAAATATTAAACACCACTTCGAAGGTCATCTTTTAAAACATAAAGCTTCGAAGGATCTTAAATGTGCTACTTGTGATTATGGGACAAATAATAAACAGCTTTTAAAACAACATATTTTAAAACATAAAGTTTCTAAGGTTTTCAAATGTGCTACTTGTGATTATGGTACAAATTATAAACACCTCTTAAAACAACATCTTTTAAAGCATAAAAGTTTCTAAGGAACTTAAATGTGCTACTTGTGATTATGGGACAACTCTTCAAAAATCTTTTAAAACATTTTGGGACAAAAAGAAAAACCTTATAACATAGAGGACGTTTTTTTTTAGTGGTGTAAAGTTTGTAAATGTGATAATTGTGGCTAAATTATAGATTGGAAAGTATTGCCATACTTACTACCAACTATATTTAATACAACATTCACGTGATCAAACATCTAAAGCTGGGCTCCCTATAGTGAAATCGTTTCAGTCATTTTTTAGAATACAGATTTGTCGATTACCTAAATCATTGTATAAATACAAATCTAAAATGAGGTTATGGACAAATGTGAAATGACAGCAAATATTTACGAATATTTATGTTCCATTGAGAGCAATTTTCACATGGATTTCTTCAGTTTCTCGTGCAACACTCGTGCAGTACGAGTTTTGCCAATCGAAAACGTTATCAGTGTTGCAAGTCCCCTAGTGATGGAAAGAGAGAGAAGGGGTAAACGATGATCGTAAACTGAGTCAAATTTTAATTTTACATTTTTTTCTGTAAAATGTACAGGAGGGCGGGGTATTGCGTAAATCTAATTTTAATTTCCAATGTTAAAACCCTATGTTCCTACTTACCGTGCACCCTCGGTATAAATATACAGATTTATAGCATAGTAGAATTGGAAGTACGCCACTGGTCACGCATAGCAAAAAAAACGCTTACTACACCAACAATATGGCCACCACACGAAAATTTAGTGCCCTGCAATCTCACTCTGTGTTGTTTAATACCAAAATAGATCTTTGATAAACGAAGAGAATTTTCACACATTTATTTATAATACTATTCCTTTTGTTGTTAGGTATGGATGGAGATGACACACTACTCATTAAAATCGAACCAAAACAAGAAGAAGATATTCATTCCTTTCTTCAGGAACACATTTCAGTAAACAACGAAGTTTTGGTGGCCGTAAAGGATGAAATTACCTTTGGCGCATCGTGTTCTAAATTTGTTAATAATGAAGACTTTCAACCTGACCTTTTAACGCAGTGTAAAACAGAGTCTAAAGATTTTAAATGTGCCGATTGCGGTTATGAGTCAAATTACAAAAGCAACATTAAAAAACATCTTTTAATACATAAAGTCTCCAAGGATTTTAAATGTGCGATTTGTTATTATGGGACAAACAATAAACACCTCTTCAAACAACATCTTTTGAAACATAAAGTTTCTAAAGATTTTAAATGTGATGATTGTGATTATGGGACAAATGTTAAAAGCAGCATTAAACGACATCTTTTAATACACACAGCATCTAAGGTTTTTAAATGTGCCAATTGTTGTTATCGGACAGATGTTAAACGCAACTTCAAACAACATCTTTCAACGCATAAAGTTTTTAATGAATTTAAATGTGCTACTTGTGATTATGAGACAAATAATAAGCACCTCTTTAAACGACATCTTCTCAAACATAATGTTTCTAAAGATTTTAAATGTGCTGATTGTGATTATGGTACAAAGGATAAAGACAACTTAAAGCGACATCTTTTAACACACAAAGTTTATAAGGTTTTTAAATGTGCTACTTGTGAATACGGGACAAATAATAAACAGGTCTTCAAACAACATCTTTTAAAACATAGAGCTTCTACCGATTTTAAATGTGCTACTTGTGATTATAGGACCAATGTTAAATGCAACTTCAAACAACATCTTTTAACACATAAAGTTGGTAAGGATTTTAAATGTGCGGATTGTAATTATGAGACAAATAATAAATACCTCCTCAAGCAACATCGTTTGAAACATAAAGTTTCTAAGGATTTTAAATGTGCTGATTGTGATTATGGGACAAGTGTTAAAAAAAGATTCAAACAACATCTTTTAATACATACAGTTTCTAAAGATTTTAAATGTGCAGATTGTGATTATGAGACAAATGTTAAATGCAATTTAAAACAACATATTATAAAACATAAAGTTTCTAAGGATTTCAAATGTGCTACTTGTGATTATGGCACAAATAATAAACACCTCTTCAAACAACATCTTTTAAAACATAGAGTTTCTAAGGATTTTAAATGTGCTGAATGTGATTATGGTACAAATAATAAACACCACTTCAATCGACATCTTTTAAAACATAAAGATTCGAAGGATATTAAATGTGCTACTTGTGATTATGGAACCAATAATAAAGACCTCTTCAAACAACATCTTTTGAAACATAGAGTTTCTAAGGATTTTAAATGTGCTACTTGTGATTATGAGACAAATCTTAAAGGCACATTTAACCGACATCTTTCAAAACATAAAGTTTCTAAGGATTTAAAGTGTGCTCATTGTGATTATCGGACCAATGTTAAATGCAACTTCAAACAACATTTAGTAAAACATAAAGTTTCTAAGGATTTTAAATGTCCTAATTGCGATTTTGAGACGAATTATAAAAGCAGCATTAAACGACATCTTTTAAAACATAAGGTGTCTTAGGATTTTAAATGTGCCACTTGTGATTGTGGCCAGAAAGTAAAACGCACCTTGAACGGCACTTTTAAAGATATAAAATACTGTAAAGTTTGTATGGAGATGTGCCAAATGTGATTATAAGATATGGACTGAGATGTCTATATCCCTTTAAATACCCTGTATATTTCAACGTCGGATGCAACTGGTCAAGTAATAGGAGATTCTGGGGACATGAGCCACCGCCATCACCATTTTCGTTATTTCCGGAGCACTTGTTGTTTGTTAAAGCTTGTTGGTGGTGGGCTTATGGTATTTTGAATTGTATTCATAGAGTTTAGCTTTGTTTTATGTGTTTGTGCGTAAGAATCAACCACTTTGGTGTCGGGTAAAGTATTTTATGTAGTTTACTTTTATGTACTTATATGAATTGTGCCATTTGTTATATCAGAAATTTTCCATCTACCATTGTGCTAATATGTAATTTACAACATGCGAGGTGTTAACTAATATCCATGTGCTTGGGGAAGTCTACGATATCTCATGTTTAGACCACATTTAACTCAGTTACACGGTGCACGAATGTGTACCTACCTATGTAGAACCTCGACTTCCGTGAAGTAGGGCATGCAATGCTAGGTGCATTTAGTTTAGGGTGACTCGTAACATTCGCGAATGCGTGTGCCTTGTTGTATGTAACTCATATCTTTCTACCGTGAGAGGGATCTCGGACCCTAGAATAGAAAGGTATTTTAGAGCTAAGGCACAAAGGATCCGAGGGCCCTCGAACCTCCAACTTTAGGGACGAAGTGCTGTAACCAAGGCCGTCCTGCCCATGGACGGCGACCCGTCTCTTAACCATCTTTATTTTTGTGTCGTTACGTGATCGATGTCAGGGGAGTGTTACGAAGCACAGGTAGTAGTTCCGGAAGTCTGGGGTTTATACCAATGTCATTATGTGGGAACTGAGCATAATTGAGGGCTCCACGAGCACACGGTGTATTGTCATAACTGCCTATTGTTACGTCACAACATGAATAATAGATCAGACATGTTTTTACAAACTTCACACCTCTCCATTCGATATACAATGATATGAATAAGGAATAACTAGTAAGGTGACTTACATCAATAAATGCGTGAATGTGTTGCCCCTAACAATCTTAACTGCGCTACGGGTTAATAGGCAAATATGCCAGCCCAATTCCTAACAATATAACCGTGAAACAGGAGGGCAATCAAGCGAAGACGCTGGCCCAAACCTAATGAATAACCAGGTTCACCACCCAATGACTAACTAAAAAATGAGTTGCCTTCTAGCCGCGATTAAAGGAAAGTACATGACATGTTGTGACGAATACTCTACGCATACTGTTCAAACGCACCTTGCTACTTGAATTCATTCATTAATTAAGGTAGTGTTACATGTTCTGCTTAGGTGGTCGGTGTTTTACTTTGCTTGTGATTAGCATAGTTTGAGTTTTATTCAAGGCCAAGGTTTTCTTCTCAAGTCGCGCTCTTTTTCTTCTTGGTAGTCTGCTTTTGCAAGAGTGCGGCACCTTTAGGTTTTGCTTGCTTTGCTTTTAATGTACCACATCCAAATTCCCGGGTTTTCAGTTTAGTTTATAATAAATAAACTCGCAGATATTACAGCGTTTCATCCGAGTTTTCCTGCCCGACTGGGTCCCGAGTCATTGTATTAGCTTCGTGTAACGTAAGGGGGCCCTACCATAGACGATCGGATCACGTGCCATTCTTTTGTTTGAATTTTGAGCGGGAGCCGTGTTTTGATACTGGGATTGCCACTTTGCCGTGAAATCTGTCATCACTTCGAGCCTGGGGTGGGTTAAGATCAGTACAACACTGCGTTAGAAATTAGTTACCTACTACAATTTGAATTTTTACTTTACTCCAATTGTGGACAAGGACCCAAATAGTTGACCCTACAGGAATTTGCAAAAGTAAATAGTAATTGGTTTATATTCCTACTAACATTTCCAAAAATTGCGTGCAGATGGCAAGTTCAGTCTGTAATGATCGCTCTGTACAATTTTAATACAACCACTGTAAACAATAAAAGATTTGGCAACAGTGTGGTGTTTTTATCAGACGTTAAATGGTAACGTGGCCTTTTTGAAGATAATCCAAAAGTAGGTATACCGCAATTATGGTTCACCAAAATTGGGCCTCTTTCGCAATTTTGTTAGTATTTAGTTTATTATTACCATGCCATTCGTATTTTATAACCGTCGATGCACACGCTGAGGAATGTTTTTTCGAAAAAGTAGAAGATGGAACGAAAATGAGTAAGTTTTTAACCTCAATTGCCTTTCTTGTAACACGTAGACTTGAAGGCCTTCACTTTGAAACCGCCGAAGGAGGATTTTTGGATATCGATGTGCGTATCGTCGGTCCCGATGGGAAAGTGATCCATTCGGGCGAACGAGAGACTTCCGGACGATACACGTTTGCGGCGCACACGCCGGGCGTTTATACCTATTGCTTCTCGAACAAGATGTCCACGATGACTCCCAAGATTGTGTTGTTCAACATGCAGATCGGCGAGCAGAACAAACATGAGGCACAGAAAGACGGGGAATCAACAACAAAGCTTGAAGATATGATACGCGAATTGAGCGGTTGGTTGTACTATACGAGTTAACGAAATTGCACCGATTTAGTTTTAGGTGCGCTGACTGGCGTCAAGCACGAGCAAGAGTACATGCAGGTGCGAGATCGTATCCATCGCAGCATTAACGAAAGTACAAACTCGCGCGTCGTGCTGTGGTCGATCTTCGAAGCGCTGATTCTGGTTGCGATGACTGTAGGACAGGTGTACTACCTCAAACGGTTTTTCGAAGTGCGTCGAGTGGTTTAATAAATTAGTGAATTTTAATACGTATTTATTAAGAACACATTTAGCATAGAAAAAATCAATCGTCTACCGCCAACTCAAGCTCGATATCTTCTAAGTCCATCTCTTGTAACGTGTTGATTATAAAATATCTGGAAAACGTTAGGTACAAGTATCGAAACCAAACCATCTGCGATTTGTGCTTCCTCATCGCGCTTACGAGAACATTTCGATCGGCGTAGCTCAGAATAAATCTGTAAAAGTCGGAAGGTACTTTGTCTAATTGCACGCCTACCACTCACCTACGTCTCGACAGCAAGTAACTGAATGGTATTTCGAAAATTAGCGAATACTTCCTTAGTACGTTGATTGTTTCGAGAACGTAAACTTTACAGTCTAAAAAGTACAAGAGGTAAGAAACCAGGCAGTTGAAATTGGCTCCTAAACCTACCTTTGGGTAGGTTCTTCTCTATACTAAGATAAGCGATCGCGTAGTATATGCTACAGTGATTTATGTGTCGACTGATGCCGTATTTATCGAACGTCACCAACGTGTCGATATCATATCTCTCGATTTGGTCCAGTATCATTCGCGAGAGCAGCTCGGTCGGCCATCTTGCTCCCTGCGCGTCGGGCAAATTCGAATGATTGCGAATTATAATGTGACCGTGTTCGATACCCAGAATGTCGCACGCGTCGTACAGCTCCCTCTTCCTCGTCCTTCCCATTCCGTAATTGGCCCCTAAACGAAATTCGAGACGATTAAATCGAAACCCCCCCGGTGCTACTCACCCGTCGACAGACACATGAGGTAGACTAGAGATTTACGATTTCGGACCACGTTAAGTATCGTCGGTCCGAAAAACATGCACTCGTCATCGGGGTGCGCGGTGACTATCAGGATCCGTTTCGGCTCGTCGAAATCGCTCGCGAATAATGGCCACTTCCATTTAAAGGTTGCGATGTAAATCGAAACGCAAAGCGTGCAGTAGATTAAGAAGGCTAAAAGGAATTGCTTGGAGGCGTTCCTCGTGTAATCGGATAAGTTTTCAAACTGATCCGAGCAAAGGGTGGTAGTCGTAGACAAGATCGCTGACCATGAATCTGACAGGTGAACTGCTAGCTCGTTTTGCATTTTACGTTGGTATGCAATTCAGAAGAAGCATCGTGACCGGTTAGTACTTAATTAATTCTAAAAACATATTTAAAAATAAACCACTTCCTCAATGGGCTAATCTTATCATAAGTTTCAGCTCGTACAGGTTATATTTTTGGTTGTCAACTGTGGATGCGTAACCGGCCAAGAGGTTGTGGCGGTCGTGGCTATTGAATGGTGCATTTAATGTATTTAGGAATTTTATTGTTGCTCCCGATTATTTCGTCGTCTCTTCATTGAATTTATAACTATCAGAAGCGCGGATCCCATATAACAGTTTGTGACCATGTGCCAACTGGCCGCCGCTAGGAGCAGTTCGATCGTTTGAAAGTCCGTGGGCGATCGGAAGTGGAGCGTTACATTGACATTAGATGGCAGCATTACAAACCATTTATTTTGACCATTCGAATATTTTCCTTTTTAATCGTTAGATGTCAGGAACTCGGGATGTTTTTTGTGTTATCATTGGAATGGTTTTATAAATAGGATTGGAATGTTCTAAAAATAGATCCCTTAAGAAGCATTGAGTAAATTTGTAATGTAAATAATAATACATTTAGACGAACGAAGCTTGCAGTCCTTGTCCTTGAAGGAATGCAATTTCATACATTCTATTCACAGGAGTAAAATAGGCAGGTTCCACATTTTTACTGAAAGCGGGAGATTTTGTTATTAAAAAACGATCAAAAAAAATTTTAAGGCAAAATATTGTCCGTTGCAAGCAGGCAGCTACATCATTTCCACATTCACATTTGATAACTAAATTTCGCGAATCAGCTTTTTTTATAACCATGCAGCATTGTGCACAAATAAATCGGTCCCAGTTTACGTGAATTCGTATACCTACTAGAGCTGAGCGATAAATGAAATTGTTATCGATTTATCGATAAGTCTGTTCAGTACCTGATAATTATCGATTAATCGTTAATTGATAACTATCGATAATTATCGATAACTTTAATCACTTATCGTTAACTTTCGATAATAATCGACAATTATCGATAAATCGTAAGGCTAATTTTCGATAATGAAAGATAACGTTTAATAATTATCGATAACTTTTTATAATTATCGATAACTTTTGAAAATAATTAATAATGATTGTTAGCTGCTGATAATAATCGATTATTATTGCCACGAAAATTGTCTATCTCTCATATATTTATCGATTAATAAATAAGTAGCGGAAATTATCAAGAGAAAACTATCGATACTTTTTCATAAATCTCATCGATATATATTCTCAATCGATATATTACATCATCCATGCGTACACTCGCTAACATTTTTGTTTTTTTGGTATTGATATTGCGAGAGATAATTTAAATAAAACAGGATCTTTTGTGGCTCAAGTTGTCTGAAATCAAAGGTGATCAAGTGGACGATAATCCTCAAAAATGAGTACAGCAGTAGGTTGTGAATTGTGATCATATATTCATATGGCAACTCAACAATGCTCTTACATCGCTTTTGTTGGAAGTAAACTGGTTACCTAAACATTGAAAAGTTTATGTCGTTAAAAATTCTCTCGATAATTATCTATCTTAATAGTTTAGTTGTGAGATTAATCGATAGATTATCGGTAATTATAGGTTTATCGACCAATCCTTTAACATTTTCGATAAATTACCTACACCGGTCTACAGCATTTTTGCGCACGGGACATATATACCTTATTTTTATTGCTTCTATAGCCACAAATAAGAATTAGAACAAAAAATGGTTATGTATTTGTTTTTGTGTGAAAAAATGCAAAAAACCAAAAAATAAAAATACCTATAGAATCCTACTTACATAGGCATGATTTATTAAATGGTAACGTTTCTACATTTATAATTTGTTTATCTTAGAGTGTAAATGTTTAAAAATGGAACAGTTTTGCTGTTTTTGTCATGTTCAACTGAATCTGATCTTCCATCATGCTTCCAACTTCCTGGCCTTGGGAAGGTGCCTAAGTTCCATTGTCTCGAGAAAGTGTTGTCCTTATTCAGAATAAGCTCCCATGACCCATATTATCCTTAAATTGATCTAAATGAGAATGTAACCTGTGCATCTTTATTCTTTAGAGACATTCTATACCCCATGATACAAAACCAAATCCTGTCAGCTCGTCATAATTTTCAGTTCTATGGTTTCCCAGGAAACACTGAACGGGAAACCATGGACTATTGCCTTAAAACTGTTCCAGGATTTTTTTTCCTCTTTGCTAAGTAACCGCGGAAAAATATCACCCTCCATTTTTCTTTTTTTTTTAGGGAAAACAAAGATTCCAGCTTTAATTTTCGCCCCTGAAAGCTTTCAATCAAATCGCTGTAACTTTTGTAAAAGCAAATATTTTCGATGTCTTAATCGCACTTTTTATTTATTTTTGCTTATTATAGTCAGAATATTGTGTAAATCCCATGCGCAAAAAATTCTTTTTTTGTTGACCGGTCGACCATTTTTTTTAAATTTATCGATTGACTATCTATTAATCGATAATTATCGATAAGTTATCGATTAACCATTGAAAACAAATTTCAAACGTCAGAATTTAAAAGAAAAGAGGTTAACGACCTTTTTATTTTGTATCAAAAT